AGTTGATAGGGACTTTTTATCTGTACAGTTTACTTACACAAAAGTCTGGCCCATTTCTCACTGTCATCCGCCTTAATCCGGCTTTTCTGAATTTCTAGGCAAGCCTTAAACCAGCTTTTTACCAGATTATTAACTGTGTCGTTGCTTAACGTTAATTATCATTGAGTTTTCTGGGATATTCAGGAAAGACATATTCATTTCTAACTATCAACTGCCTTAATGCAGCTTTTCTGGACTCCTTTCCAAGTTGCTACCTCTGGAAACAAAATTAGTGAAAATGCAATGAAATCGACCTTCACTGGCGACATCACAGCCAAATCAGCCTTTAAATGTGACATCACAACCTCCGTATTCCATATTTTGATGTCAAGCCAGTTATCATGGCAAGGCTTCAAGTTAAAATCTACTATCAGAAACCAACCATTAGGTTTGTGTTTATATAGTTTCTTCTCTATAAGAGCGACCCACCAATGTTAGAGAACACTCGCCAATATTTTACTTTCATTCCGTTGCTAAAATATTCAGTTTTAGACATATTTTAATTCATACATGATATACGTGATGAATCTGTCACAATTAACTGTGTTTTTAATTTAATTTAATTTTTAACTTTTTTAAAAATAAATCATTGTATTTATTCTATTATTTTTCATACATTTGGCTTTTATTTTTTCTCTTTTATTATTATTTTTTCTTGATATGGTTTCCTGTACGTGGTGAGGGTTTTACCTGTACAGTTTACCTTCTGTGGGATTCACCCACGTATATACCGTGCCTGGTAGCCATGAAGTGAAGACATGAGAATATCCTGGAGGTTGAGTGGTGTCTGTATTGTGTACTTGTATCACTGAAACACACAACTTTGGCCATGAAATCGTGTAGAAGGGAAGTCTGGGCTAATCCACCTGAGTATCAATCAGTTAATTACAAATGGCTGGGGTCAACTAACTGCTAGTGTCAGATATCCTCAGTATCTCTGGTACTATAGTGTTTCCAAACTTTTTACTTTGCTGCATTCTCAGCTTTTAGTACTGTAGCAAGTGCATTATATAACTCCATGGTGGGTCTGGAGAGAGGGCAAAAATCTTTTTGTTTTGATTTCTTATGGATAATCTTTTACCTAAAAAAATTCAACAGAAAATGACAATAAATAGATTTTGTAATCACCATCTTTTAGTCTTCTCTTTTATTGTGTATTCTGAACTATTGAAATAAAAAATACTATTTCCCACCAACTCTTCTTTTTATAGCATCGAAAGTTGGCGCCATTAACCTGTGACAAACAAAGAACTTCCTTTGTAAAATATTGTAAAAATATACTTGTAAGTGTAATAGTTTTGTTTTATTTCTATCCTGCGTATCATTACGTGCTTTCTTATTTTCTGTTTTACTATATCTTTCTCAATGAAAAGTAAGTCATTTTGTTCATACTATTATCATCAATGAGCATGTTTTTGTTATTTAAATGCCATAAGCCTTTTTTATTATATTCAATAATTTAATCTTCAAGAGTACATTTTTTATTTTTTATTTTATATAATTACATTATAAAAAACTTCATAATGAACATTGTACAAATTTATTATGGTTTACTTATTTACAATTCATAGACCCTTCTAACTGTCTCTCTAAATTAAATTTTTTAACACTGTCTTAACAAGAAAACGTTGTATATATTTTTTGATATTCTACTCATCTATCTTTTACGTTTCATTAATTTGATTGTTATTTTAAAAAGCAAATGTTGTTCTGACCAAACATCCTTCGTTGCTTTGAACCGCCCACATACCGCTGTGCCACTGGGAGGCCAAACAAACAATACTTTGAACCTCAAAAATGGTACGTGTTCTATGTTGAGTCCTTTTGAGGTATGAGAAGCTACAGTAGGTTTATCTGATAGGCCAGGTTGGGAGCACGGCTGTATGGAAGAGCTATCTACTGTCGACTTCTCATTGGTTGTTTGTGAACATAAATAATTCTGTTTTTTTTAATTGGAAATTTTTATCAGGAGCGAAGCTGCTAACTCACAAATGTAGTTTTCTGCTGAGTGTCGATTTCTGAATTATTATTTAGACATGTTCTTTTGTTTTGCGAGTTTTCCTTCGTATTCTGAGAGAGAAAAAATTGCAAATGTTGAATTTTTGACAGAATTTTATTTCATTTGATAGCTCAGATAGAAGATGAATAATAAACATATTTTCATGAAAATCGATTTATTTTTTATCACAAGGGTTTATACTATCTGACTAATAACTTTTAAGGGGTAACCCTCATCTTAACTTTTACTGCTATAATGTATAATTAATATATTCAAACTGTAACCATTACACGAGGTTTTTATTCAGCATAGTCTGTAACCAATAAGTCTTAAGATTTAATAATTATTTGTGGCTTGTATTCCATATAGTGTCTAAACGATAAACTTTAATGATAACCATCACCTATGGCTTTTACTTTATACAGCGTTTTGAGAAGTAACCATCATTTGTGCATTTTAAGCTGTATAGTGTCTGAAAAATACATCTTAAAGGGTTTTCGGTATAACTTCAAGATTACATATTAAGGTATAGCCATTACTTGTGGCTTGCAATCCGTAGTGTCTAACTGATACATTGTAAGCTATAGCCATTACTTGTGGCTTGCATTCCGTAGTGTATGATTAAAGTGTAGCCATTCTTGTGGCTTGCATTCCGTAGTGTATGATTAAGGTGTAGCCATTATTGTGGCTTGCATTCCGTAGTGTATGATTAAGGTGTAGCCATTCTTGTGGCTTGCATTCCGTAGTGTATGATTAAGGTGTAGCCATTACTTGTGAAGGCTTGCTTGATATTTTTTAATCTTTTTTCTTCTAGTTTTCAATAGCTTGAACAAATTTTGTTGGTTCTCTAGCGACATTTCACAGAATAGGTTGTATTTAAATATTTCTGTTCACATGTGTTTTCGGTAGAATGTGTAATTGATATTCGTGTCCAACAACCAGAACATCTGAAACTTCAAGTGCACATTACAAAAGATAGGTAGATAATACTTCACTATCTAAAAAAATGTTCTGGTTATTAGCCACAAACATCATGCTGTCTACTAACACAAAACATCCAGTTCACAGTGCAGAAGGAATTTAATGACCCACTTCCTTTCCTGGATGTTCTGGTTATTAGACACAAACATCATGCTGTCTAATAACACAAAACATCCAGTTCACAGTACAGAAGGAATTTAATGACCCACTTCCTTTCCTAGATGTTCTGGTTGTTGGACACGAATATCATGCTGTCTAATAACACAAAACATCCAGTTCACAGTACAGAAGGAATTTAATGATCCACTTCCTTTCCTAGATGTTCTGGTTATTAGACACAAACATCATGCTGTCTAATAACACAAAACATCCAGTTCACAGTACAGAAATAATTTAATGACCCACTTCCTTTCCACCTTATTGGTTTGCAAAATAAAGAATTTTGTGAGGTATCTTGAAACACCAATTTAACTTATAAGTTTCAGAATTTCTACTTTGCTATCGTAGTTATATTTCAAAACTTATAGCAGTTAATATATTTTAACAGTACACAAGCTGTCTTGTGAAGTTAAAAGTGACACAACTGGGATTCAACTCCAATATTCATTAATTCTGAATTATTTAACGTTTTCTTATCATATCTTGTGTACTTAAAAACAAGAAACTCAATTGATTTAAAAACTTCAGTGCTTAACAATTGATTTTGCCACTCCATTAGCTTGAGAATGTTCTATAACAATTATCACTACTGTCTAGAATCTCTGTGGTTCAGAAATTGATCATCATCTGCCACTTCTAGTACCACTAGAGGGCGGATTTTGAACGACGTTTCGGCTCCAATCTAAGTTCTTTTTCCAAAGTTCTTAGTGATGTATTTATGGAGAACTTAGAAACAAAACTCTCGCCTATCTGAATATTAAATGTTGTTGTATTCTAAACGTAGACGCACAGCTAAAATGTTGAATTTTGATGAAGTCTTTTGTGCTGAAAATATTTATGGCCTGACTTCAATACAAAAATGATGAAATACAAAAAGTAGTTTCATAAGGTCCCCCGGCGAGGCAGCGGTAAATTTACAGATTTACGAAGCTAAAATTCGGGGTTTAATTCCCTGCAGTGGACATAGCAGATAGCTCAACATAACTTTGCTCTGAAACAAATAGTTTCACGAATATAGCTTTCGCGGCTTTGCTCTAAAAATCTTCAAATAACAATAAAAAGTGTCTCTCCGGAACCTGTGAAAACTCAATAGATTAGAATAGAGAGAAAATCACCCCTTTGAGTGTGTGTCAGAACTATGTGACACGTTCTAAAAGAAATATAGTAAATAATTTCACACCTGGCATTTTTTTTTTCTGAAGCAGAAATAACTGGTGGGTCATGCCAGTGATAAGACACCGTCTATATGACGTCCAATCCGTATCATCCCTCCCCAAAAATGGGAGTCGGGACACCCCAGCCTTTCAGGATAAGTTGATTATTCTTACAGGTTTTTCTTGTTCAGTATAAAGCTCTGGTCACCTCGGGCATCGAAACCCGATTTTTAGCGTCATATCCTCAGACTTACCGCTGAGCTGCAGGGGGCTTCTTTTAGATTAAGAAAAATTACAGCATGACAAAATCATTTCTTTACCCAAGTATTTTATTCCAATGGTGCTATTTTTACTTCGGATTGGTGAATCACAATTCAGGTCTGGTGTGTCAAATGGTCCACTATGGTACATTTAAAAAGGCTAGTTGTGAAATAATTATTTGTATTTTATTTTAAAACATATTGAGTAGTTCTGCTACATACATTATGTAATTGAATATTTCCAGATCATCACAATTGTGCTTTTGTTGTTGAATTACATCAAGTTTTTCGATTGTAATGTGAATTTAGTCTAACAAACACAGGGTTTTTAATTACATAATTCATTATTACCAGATCATCGTTTGAACTTTAGGATACCGTCAACCGTTTCCTTGATAGTTTCTAGAAATGAAAGCTCGTCCATTTATAGCAGTTTCTGGGTGTTTTCTAATGTATGTTGGTCTTGGGACACCTTATCTGTTTGGAAATATCACTCCTTATTTGACATCTTATCTCAGAAAAAGAGTTGACAATAGCACAACATATGAAAAGACTTCCTGGATTATCTACACAAATGAATCTATAGTGGCATTAATATTCATCGGAGTTTGGCTAGCTGAGCGGATTGGACAAAAGCCTACTATCGTAATTGGTACTGTTGTTTTCAGGTAGGACAATATTTGATTTATATACTAGGCAATATCTGACACTAAAATTTCTAGATGAATTTTATGTTTTTAGTATTTGTGTGATAATTGTTTAGCCACTAAATCCCATCTCTTCGAGAAGTGCAAAATAAGTGGTAAAAAAGCATTATAAAAGCAAAGTTTCACTGCTGAGTGTTTTAATGTGTTAAAATAATTATAGAATAACTGTTTATAAATGTATTAACCAGAATGATAGGTTTGGTTCAGAACAGTTATTGAGCCATTCATCACCCACAGTTTCCTACAAAGTGGTATGAGGCATTGTACTAATGATATAATTGTAATCCAAAGATCAAATAGGCATACTCCAGTGTGATCCATGGAGTATGATTTGATTGTAATAATAACAAACTCGTTCTCTTGAATACAGATAATAAACATCATATGTTCAGATAATTTCCTATTAATTGGCCATTAGTTTTCACAGTAGTTGGGAGGAGAAAGTCCTCCTGCAAAGAATCATCACAACAGACTCATCTTAAGGTGTGAACTGTCACTGTGTCACAACTGGCCATATTTTACCTTCATTTTGCTACTTAATGCATTATTTTAGACATGTTTTAACTCGCCTTATATCTTTGAAATTGGGTAGTGTTATTAAAAACTGTGACGCGATCCAGATTGGGTATAGTTTACTGTTTTATACGAGCACTAAGTCTTTTTAATGTTGCTTAATAGTTTTATCGTAACAAAAATTATTCTTTCTCGAATTTGTTTTTTATAGTGATATTTGACTGTCATTTATTTAAAACGAATATTTTTTGACACAAAAGGCCAATGCAACTTTGCACCAAAAAACATAGAACAGTAACAACAACCTCACTGAAAAACTACAGTCACAGCATGCTTATCCTACCCAAATTATATATTACATAAAATTGATTCAACCTATTGCATATAAAGTTATAAACGTAAAATGTACTTATACTTACATGTTGGATAGTCAAATTATTTTTACTGAGGAGAGCAAGTCAAATATTTTATAGGGAGTAGAAGAGGAATAGAGTTAACTTAATATAAATTATATTTTTGTGGTATGTTTTATTTGTTTATCTTCAGTTTTGGAATATCTGGAACTTACTGGGCTATACAACACAGCCTGGAAGCTACGATTGCTCTCTTTGGTGTGATTTCTAATGTTGGTTATCTCTGTTTGTATGGCTTACCACTACCTGTAGCTATGGAGGTAAAGAATTTCAATACAATTTAATACAATGAATATATCTAAAGTATGAACAATAAGAATAAAGGAAGTATGTGGCAGTTTATATCATTGTTATGCAAAATTATATCTATAATTGTCCACATTTATCCGTATTATTTGTAACTGTGTATACAATAACTTATTAAACCATGATTTTTCTCCACATATTCAGTCTTTTGAATATCAACTTTCTGCATGTTATTAAGTTAGCCTCATGACGATTCAGGGAACCCATTTATAGGCGTTCCAACATCATTATTCTTGTCATTATAGGATAACATTAAGTATTATGAGAAAACTATAGTACTTGTTTCCACCAAAGACTTACTTTTCAACTACATAACTACTCTTTTTAAGAAACAAGTTAGTGTTTCTTATACAGGGTCAATTGTAGAAAGTTGTAGACACTAATATCTAACACACTAAATAGCTTGATGCCATATGATGAAAGCATTAGCTATTTAATGCAGTGTTATTGGAAGTTATTGTAAAGGTTTAATTAACTAAAAAAAGTTTCATTATGTTACAGAAACTTAATTATAAACCAATAATATTTTGCGATATTCTACTTTTTTAGATTTTATTGAAAAGAATCACTACCTGTATATTTTTAATAGCGTGTAGAAATCAGTTAGTTATGAAAGAAAATGAATTTTTGTTTATGAAATATTACAGTGCATATCATTTTAGTATTGAAGGGTATGTAAAATTTTTCGTACCTTCTTATGATAGAAATAAGAATATTAAAACATATAAAACTGTCCCAGAAGGAGAAAAAAATGACTTACTAATTTTCAAAGAGAGTTCTGAGATGAATTGCAATAAATGTCTCTACTTTCTAATATTGGAAATAGTGTTGATTGTCGATACTAAACATAATTTTGATAAAGCTTTTTTAAATAAAACTTACAATTTAAGAATCAAACACATTTTGTCGTTTACAGTGGTTTCCCAACAATAAGGCCCTCGTGGCAGGAATAGTATCTTCAGGGGCTGCTTTCACTCCAGTTCTAATGAATAACTTACATGCATTCTTTATGAACCCTAATAACCTTCAACCAGATACTGATGGGTAAGTTTAGTTTGCTATTTAAATAAGAAGGGTCTCCTGGCAAGAATAGTATCCTCATGAGCTGCTTTCACTCCAGTTCTAATGAATAACTTACAGGATAAATCAAGTAACTTGCTGTTCACTATTCATTTGCATTTTTTCGAAACAACAGAATAAAAATTGCAGAAATAATAGCTGGTTTGTGTATTCATACTGTTTTAGTTGTTAAGGAAATAGAAACAAAACTGAGGATATATTATTTTTATTTTGTTTTTCCAATAGTTCAACACTGAATCATATTTTATTTAGTGGAAAACTTCTCGGCACGCGTGCATTTTCCGTGTGAGAGAGGAG